CAAATTTCTTTGGAAATTAAAACCTGTGTCAATTGTCACATGAAACACAGTTATACGTGTAAATGTAACAACTGTTCACCATCAATGCTGGTTATAATCATAGTCTTATGGCATGACAAACCGCATATTGTTTCATTAAAATTTGCTGTTATAAAATTTTGAAAATTGTTTAAGATTAAAGAAATATCTCTCTCATGCAAAGCTCTGATTCCATGTTCGGATTTGGCTATACGTAATGTCCTTTTTAATTGTATTTGATCTTCAACGTGTGTTAGTGTATTGGTTTTCAAATAGTTTTGACCTCGTGCATCATTGAAAACACATCAATTATCGGAACGCGCATATGATGCAATAAAATTTGTACTTCTTATGTTATTGCTTCCGCTACTTTGATGTCTCTACTTGGGGGACTGAGGGTATCACCAGCCCATTAGCCAGTACCATATCGAAATACGGATATTATTGGATTGACATTTGGACATAGCTTTGGAATGTATTTATGATAAAGAAATATATATCCCTCATGCAAAGCTCTGATTCTTTGTTCGGATTTGACTGTAACCTAAGTCTTTTTCATTATTTGATTTGCTCTTCAAGGTTTGTAGTAGTTAATTAGTTTTTAAAAAAAATATTTTGGCTTCCATCATTACTGAAGAGACATTGTTCGTTGTAATGCACATCTGGTGCAATAAAATTGGTACTGTTTATTTTATTCTTATTACACAAACAAAATAAACAAAACCAAATGTGGTATGATTGTCTATGAGACAACTCTCGATCGATATCTACTTACATCTTAAATTTGACAACGAGGGTCAGTTGAGAACAAAACTTTATGAAAAAGTAATGATTGCAGCTTCCCAATTGTAAACAAATTTCTATGTAGCAATATTCCAGCAGCGCCTGCATATGGAGTATATATCTCTCCCCGTATATACGCTATTCTAGTGCTTGCTTTTACTTTCATGATTTCCTTGATAGAGGGTTGCCTTTAACAAGGAAGCTATTAACTAAGAGTTCCAAGTGGTGAAGTTGAAATTATCCCGTCGAATATTTTACAGACGCCATCAGGAGTTGGCTGACCGTAACGGAATATCTGTTTCACAGATGACGACGGATATGTTCCAATCGTCGTAACAACAATCTCGTCCTCAGATGGTTTGTATGTATATGAGCAACACGACGGGTGCCACGTGTGTAATAGGATCTACTAACCGTTACGCAGAACCTGAGATCAACCCCGGTTCGGGTGGGGGATCGTGTTGTTCATTCTTTAGTTTTCTATGTTGTGTTTTGAATACTGTTGTTTGTCTTCTGGTCGTTTTTTCTTTTTTCCACAGGGCATTTTTAGTTTATTTTCGACTTATGAGTTTGAATGTCCCTTTTGTATCTTTCTCCTTTCTTTTACACAGACCTTTTTGGTAGAATAGGGTTCGGGTTAGTATTTTCGTGTAGACAGCTCCTCTTCAATTACTGTGCATGTTGGTTTCTTTATTTGTGATAAACATTATATCCTTTATTAATAGTATGAAGCAATTATTGAATCATTTCTTTTAATTCTCTGTAGTTATTGTTCTGAGCATGCCATTAGTGTGTTGTTATGCACTGTGTTATGACGAAGCTGAATGAAAGTCCTCTATGAAGTACAATGGCCGTTATTAGCTCTATATATTGTATAGACACTCGTTTATAGTTGAAAATTATATGTTGCCCTCTTAATGTCTGTTGCTTATTTTTGCCGTTTGGTGGCTGTTTGGTTGACGTCTATCCATCCCTGCATATTTTTTTTTAATCATAACAAATATCAAATTTGACTAAATTTGTAGTTTTAATTTTTAGTGCGCAACTCAATTATTTTAGGATGTATCTGTGTACTGAAAAGTTTATAAATTATCTGTATGTAACCTTGAATTGTTCGAAAAAGAAATGAGTTTCTTCCCTAGGAACAGATTACTTTACATGTGTTTGGGAAAACCTTTCTAAGTTTTGGGTCCTCAGTACTCTACAATTTTGTACTTTATGCGTCTGGCGTTCAAAATTATCAGCCTGGTTTTTTTATGAGGTTTTTTATACATCTGTATTGAATTATATTGAAAAGTATTTGCACCAAAGTATTTAAAGTTATCTTATCTTTATTCAAAAATTTAATAACAATTAAACACTCAAAATAATAAAAAAGGAAACAGTAAAGATGAATCCACATAAATTTTTATGTGAATAATATGATACTATAATTTAAAAGGAAAAATTCTATAATTTATATGCAAAGTGTTGAGGCTTAAATATGGCACCACATATTCCTTTTACTTACTTAATAGGTTTTGTGCTAGATACTTTCATATATCTTGTATAATTATTAGGTCTTTCCACTTTTCTGTGGAAAGACCTATTGTATTTGTTCTGATTATTATTTTTTTCTTCCGCTAAATTTTGTTATCGCGTAAAATTTTTGTTTCGCAATATGTCGCTAAGATATTTCTTATATAGTCTCATACAGTTTGTGCGCTTTTTATCTTCACCAATTCTAAGCAGAACAATTTTCTTTGTAAGATTTATCTCCCTATTCACTGTTTATCAAGTGTGTGCATCTCCTTCGTAACAAAAAAAGATATCGACAAAATTCTTTTCTAAATTGTTCGTTACATCCTCGGAAATTTTTGGCTAATTTGGATCAAAGCGATTCGATGATATTTTAAAGGAGTTATCTACCTTTGCAAAATAAATTTGTCGGTATGTTTTTTTAACTCATAAACCGTTAACCGTATAACCCTGGAATCTTTTCATTTGAGGTCCCGAGGTCCTAACTTACAAAATTAGGTCAAGGTCAAAGGTCAAGGTCAAGTTCTCAATATTGACTTTTCCTTGTTTTTGCATTTTCTCAAACACTTTTAAAGATACATATATAACAACAAGTGCAAAATGTTTGCTTTATTGAAATGAAGATATGTTACATTTGGTCTGAAACAATCTAATGGCATCTTATAGGAGTAAGTGCCACTGAAATGTCCAATTATAAGGTTAATTCATTATAACTTCAACTTGGTTCATTATATAGCCATATGACCTTTATCAAAAGGTTGGATGACATATGACCTTGAAAAATGACAACCGGAAGTGACATTGAGAAAACCGGAAGTAGCCATTTTTGCACAGTCTTCATGGAAAAGTAATCGGAATCCATATATTTTGTAATTTTAATACATTAACCTATCACTGAAGACAAAAACTGACTTTCGATAAACCGGAAGTGGCCAATTATCTCCTGGTTTACAAGCAAAAGTATATAGAAACTATATATTTTTGGAATCAGTGTGAAAGAAACTATTATATAGACCGAAAGTGACTTTTACCTCACCAGAAGTAGCTAATTATCTCCCTTATTTCACTCATATAGTATATAGAAACCACATATTTATCGCATCAGTATGAAGAAACTGATGATAAGATGCCAATTTTAACTTTGAGTAAACACGAACTAGCATCTTTTCAATTTAAAAATTGCTGTGGAAAGACCTTCAATTGTTCCCTGAACAATTGGTTTTTTATTAATTTTTTTTTCTTCTTCCGCCAATCCCTTTTCTTGCGACATAAAGTTGTTTCGCAAGATGTCGCTTAAATATTTCGGATATTGTATCGAACAGTTATTGCGCTTTTCAAACTTATCTTGTTAAGCTGAAGACTTTTTTATTGTAAGAGTTATCTCCCCAAACACTGTTTTTCTTGTGAGTGTATCTCCTCCGTAACCAAAAAAGGTAACGACAAAATTCTTTTTCTTATTTGCTCGTTACATCCTCAGAAATTTTTGGCTGAAGCTGAAGACTTTTTTATTGTAAGAGTTATCTCCCCAAACACTGTTTTTCTTGTGAGTGTATCTCCTCCGTAACCAAAAAAGGTAACGACAAAATTCTTTTTCTTATTGCTCGTTACATCCTCAGAAATTTTTGGCTGAATTGGATCGAAGCGATCCGGTGAAATTTTATAAGAGTTATCTACCTTTACCAAATTAACTTGTCGCTATGTTTTTGTAACTCATGAACTGTAAGCCGTATAAACTTAGAGTCTTTTTATTTGAGGTCCTTAGGTCCTAACTTAGAAAATGAGGTCAAGGTCAAAAGTCAAGGTCATGTTCTCAATTTTGAATTTTGCTTGTTTTTGCATTTTCTCTGACACTTTTAAAGTTAAATGTAAAAGAACTAGTGCAAAAAGTTTGCTTTATTGTGATGAAGATATGATATATTTGGTATGAAACAATCCAATGACATCTTATACGAGTTATTGCCCCTGAAATGTTTTTTTTTTAAGGTAAGTTGATTATTTCTTCAGATTGGTACGCGATAAAGCCATAAGGTCTTTTGCAAAATGTTGGATGACATATGACCTTGAAAAATGTCAACCGGAAGTGACCTTGTGTAAACCGGAAGTAGTCATTTTTGCACTTATTTCATGAAAAAGTACCTAGAAACCATATATGTTTTGAATGGACATACATAAACCAATCAATTGAGACCGGAAGTGACATTCCATAAACCGGAAGTAGCAAATTATCTCCTTTTTACAGGCAAAAGTATATATAAACCATATATTTTTAGAATCAGTGTAAATACAGCTATCATATGAGACCAGAAGTGACATTTTCTGAACCGGAAGTTGGAAATTATCTCCCTTATTTCAGGCAAAAGTATGCAGAAATCATACATTTATTGAATCAGTATAAAGAAACCTATGATTGAACGCCAAAAGTAACTTAATGTAAACCGGAAATAGCTTATTATCACTTATTTAGAAAATTGATGTGGAAAGACCTTTAATTGTTCTCTGAACGATTGGTTTTTAATTTTCCATATAATCTTTCACTTAAATCATACAAATTATTATGCTCAAAATACCTTTTACGGCATGTCTACCTCATTTTTGTTGCCTCATTATATTTGCTAGAATGTATAAAGAAATATCTGTTCAAATACTGAATTTATTTAAGAGACCAAGAATTAATAAATAAAAAAACACACTTAAAATAGATTGAAAGATACATGTATATCGATTAAAACAGAAAGAAGAAAATCAAGGTGACAGAAATACAGAAATGGTAATCAAAACAGAAAATCAACGAATGGAAGTTTTAGACATCCAAAATAGAGAAAATATAGCAAAAAGAAAAATACTCGTGGTTGTGATTTTTGTCTAATTTATATCGAAGACTTGGTTTAGGTTAAGGGTAAAAGATATCTTATTTCAAATCTTTTAAAGATAAACAACTGAAAAAATGAATATGCTCCCAAATTGCCATTTCTTATTTCTGTCCTCTACTCATATCTGGTTTTGCAATATGAAAGATAATAATTTATTGGGATATATTGCCGATAACATAAAAAATTCAATAAAATTTAGACATATACTTGAAAGTCTACAAAAAATTGACTGGTACATTATCATTATTTGTGTTATATATAATAGAATCTCGTTGTTGTCATCGTTGTATCATCCTGCATAGATTGTAGTTAATGATTCATTCTAGGAAAAAAATTATAATAACACCTACAATATTGATTATTAAATACAACAGAAAAAACAAACGGTCAGTTATACAGCAGATCACTTTCCATTCCCGGATGTGTTTTTCTTTTATTTCATTTCTTTTCTTCTGATCTTGATACTTCTCTACAATTTCTCGTATGACCCGTATGTCCTCTGCCAATCCTGAACGAATTGGAATTGAAAAATCAATGTCTCCATTTGATTGACCATTTTCATATAAATCAGCGCGATAAAACTCTTCTTTTTTCTCGGCAAGTAATCGTACTCTTACACCTTTATCTTCAGCAGCATTACAGTTTTTGTCTGATGCCATTTTCATGCTCCATAGATTCCGAACGGTTTCATCGTTACGTTCCTCATTCTCGATCAATTTGTCGCGAATAAAGAAAAGTCTTGCTACGACATCGATCATCAACTGAAATGGAAAAATATTAGAATTATGTGAGGTTTACTTGAGGGTAAGCATATTCAAAAACCTCTCTTTAACCAAAAACAATGTGAATTCCATAATAACAATGAATATTGACTAGATATATTGGTTAATCAGTTTTCTATTAACAATGTGACAATTCGTAAGTCATTAGATATTTCAATTCTTTTACAAAACGATGGAAACGGAAAACTGAATACCGCCAATTTCATTTGTTTTTTTTTTTTATTTCAGAAGAAAATATTTTTACAACATCATTCAAATAGCATAACAATAATATTCACTTTAATGCAGGAATAAGGAGATGTGATATAAGTGCCAAGGAGACAATTTTCCTGTTGATTCATCTACTATTTTCGTTCAGTAGCATTTCTATTGTGTTTTTACATCCATTAGTTCACCCATGTTTGCAAGAATTAAAACAAATTCAGCCTTTAAAGTTTGTTTTTTTCTACCTTAGTTTTCTTCGATTTTTATTTAATTTTTTTTTCTCTTATTCTGTTTGTATGTCTTAATATTATTTTTAATATTATAATTAATAGTACTATTATTATTATAAGATATTCCGATCGGCAGTGAAACCTTTGCAAAAGTGTGGCGTCCGTTTGGCTGAGCTGGATGTACAAGTACGCATCCACGTTACATCTGATTCCTCGTGTAAAGAGAGTGCCATACTCTTTACATGTTACGAACCCTATCAACAACTCTCTGAGAGTCCATAGGTGGCCTGTAGCAAGATAAAATCCCTGTCTCTATCCATTTTTTCATAAAATGTCGTGTGCCAAGTCAGGAATATGACAGTTGTTATCACATAGTCCGTTTCTATGTATGTTGGCGTTTGTTTTTGTAGCAGTTCAGTGTTTCTGTTGTTCCGTTTTGTTTCCTCTTATAGTTGATGTGTTTCCCTCAGTTTTGGCTTGTGACCCGGATTTGTTTCAGTTAAATCGATTTATGACTTTTGAACAGCGGTATACTACTATTGCCTTTATATATACCCTTATGTTCCAAGTACTTCTAGTAAAGCTTTTTTTAAATGCAATCATATATACCTTTCGTAGCCATGATGGTGCTCGATTAATCCTAACTCCTCGGAAAAACATATTAGCAACTATAGTTGATAACACTGTAGAAACAGTAATTAGTATCATACTCAAGCAGAAGTAAGTGCCTAAAAAGTAGAAAAAATGTAAAATGTAAAATAAAAAATCTACCGTACTCCAAGGAAAATTCAAAACGGAAAGTATTTAATAAAATGGCAAAATCAAAAGCTCAAACACATTTAACAAATGGAAAACAACTGTCGTATTCCTAACTAAGTACAGGCATTTCCTTATGTAGAAAAATTAACTCATCATAGATACCAGGATTGAAATTTTGTATTTACGCCAGACGCGTGTTTCGTCTATAAAAGTCTATAAAATGGTAGATTAAACCTGGTTTTATAGATATATTACAATAGTATATAGAAAAAAGTAAAATCACAAAAATACTGAACTCCGAGGAAAATTCAAAAAGGAAAGTCCCTAATCAAAAGGTCAAACACATCAAACGAATGGATCACAACTGTCATATTCCTGACTAATAAAGGAATGAATGAACTTACGACTTATAAATCAGATGTATCAAAGGAGTTTTTTAATTTGACGTTGAATCTTTTTAAAAATTCAATTGTAAATGAAAAGAAAGCAGTGTATATATTTCGTTCGTCTGAAACGCTATTCTGTGCGAACCTTCGAAAAAGCAAAGAGTGTATAATAAAATGTGAAGAGCAATATGACCAAATGGAACATTACAGGAATAGTTTAATTTCTGTAAGGTCACATTGCTGAGGGGTTTGAAGCTTCTTGATAATTACGCAATTTAACAATGGTGAAAAGTTATGTTTATGTAATACGATTAAACCAAATCGATTCATTAAGGTAAATCATCAATATACTTTTTTTATATGCTGAACGAAGAAATATTTTTACTTTTTTGTGCTGTTATCAGGTAATATATATTTTTATAAGGTGCTAGACATCAGTCACAATATTATTTTTTCTGTATTATTTCATTTTGATCTCTATAAGGCACTTTGACTAAGTGTGTCTTATCTACAGAACAGGAGAAGGCCAGTCAACAGAAACTATATACAAAATAACAGCGAAAACACTTTTATATTCATCCGATTTTTTCGAGTACATGTAAGCTAATAATACTGGATTGTGTCCTCAACCTTCATTACATGGAATTCCTTTCACTCTATTCCATCTATCGGATTGCTTTATTTGATCAGCCAAATTTCACATCAGCGATATTAAAAAGCAAACGGTGGAAATAATAGTTTAATATCTTGCCGGAATAGACTTGGGAGATAATATCTTAATCAAATGTGTTAGAGTAAAACAAAGAATTGTCGTCTAGGGATATAGACGGGCACTTTTAATAATATTTAGCTCTGCTTTGATAGACAAAGATTAAAGTTATATCATTTAATACACAAAATCTGTCACTGATAAATCAAAGAATCTAGTTTCTTTAGAGATATTAATCACAATGGAAATAGCTCTTCTACGATCACTAGTACAATAGACAATTTAAAAAATCTCATTAGCAGTGAAAGCAAAAACAAGGATGAAATATTGTAAGCACTGTTGAAATTCATTGAAGTTCAATTAATTTGAAAAAGGATACTACTGTTCATGGTTTATCCTAAATGTTAAAGTAGAAATTGATATTAAAAACAGGAAATCTAAAAAATTCTCAAAAAATTCTGGAATAAATTGAAGTACTTATTTGTTTTATTTTAGTTCGTTAAGGATTCATATAGCATATTTGATCTCATATTACAAATATTTTATATGTGTTGGCTCTCTTACATATTGTAGATTAGATCTCATATAACAAATAATTTGTATTTATTTGTTTTCTAACATATTATAAATTAGTTCACGTATTAGCTATTTCTTGAATTTTTCGGCTTTTTATTATATCATAAATTAGATCTCTTTTAACATTTTTTTGTATTTTGTGGCCAGCTAACACATTGTTAATAAAACTGCGTCACGTCAGATCTCAATGATATTTTTTTTTGTATTTACTGATTTTTTTACGGTTTTCCACCTATTATATTATTGAATAATCACTTTACATTCAAACAATTTGCTTTAACATATAAAAATATGTTACCTTTCACACGGTAGCGATAGTGCATACACTTTACTGATAAAGCTTGTTCATCTTCCATAGAATCATGCTTATCTGCATTTTTGAGTTCGCCATCTTTACGTTTAATTTTTTTCTTAATGCAAGTTTTGTCCGTTATTTGATTCAAAATCATTTTTCGTAAAGACTATCAGTTTTCCCAAAATGTGTATTTGTCTTAATTGAATTTGTATTTTTTTTTTATCAATTCTCATTATAGTCTTTATATTCAAGTTAACTCTGAGAAGGAATTGTTCACTTGAAACTTCTATTTCTAAATTTTAGTTTTTAGTGAACTGTATAAACAACCTCAGGAAAAATGTGTTTACTACTGTTCTTCTTCTCGATTGTTTCCTTGATTTATTTTTATGAGAAATGAGAACAGACGGTAAAACCGATATTGCAAGCACTAATTTCGCTAGAACAGATCCTGGTTATTACAGAATTTTCTTACATTTGTATGTTTTACGACATATGATAGGCAAAATTGTGAGCATGTAAAACTTGTTTAACCCACCAAAATACTTTGTGTACATTTTTTCCTAAATTCAAATTCTCAACTATTTGTATTGAAATATCAATTTTCCTCTTCAATTTATATCTTTTTAATTTTTTCATACAATGATCATTTCAAATTTCATGAATGTGCTGATAGTTTGCGTGTTTGAAAGTTTGAATTATCAACAAAAAAATTAGTATATATACGTCTTCTTTTAGAGAGCAACTCATCTTCAGAAGTTCAGAAGAACAGGACGATTATATTTCTGTACATGGTAGCCAATAAAATGTGCTATTCTCAAAGGTATATTAGGGGACGACCATTTAGTTTTCTTAGTGAGAGGGTACAGGAGGAAATTTTGCGGACCGAATGTTCATTTTCAACTATTGCTAGTCCGGTTTATTTCCATTTATATACACAATTATCTTGCATTTTTTGTGGTAAGAATTTTTATTTTCATCCTTTCTTGGGCAAGGTATTTTTTTTTTTCATTTGACATTAAATTTTGAAGTAAATTCTATTTTACTGAATATCAGAGGAACAAAAGACAATTGACTTAATTTTACTGAATATAAGAGGAACAATATACAATAGACGTAAGTTCTATCTTACTGAATATCAGAGGAACAAAAAACAATTAACGTAAATTTTATTTTACTGAATATCAGTTGAACTATAGACATTTGATGCAAATCATATTTTACTGAATATCAAAGGAACAATAGACATTTGACGTAAACTATATTTTAATGAATATCACAGGAACAATAGACATTTGACGTAAATTATATCTTAATGAAAATCAGACGAACAATTGACATTTGATGTAGAATATCTTAAATGGAAATCAATGAGCAATTTTTGATTGTCGTAGAATATCTTTAATGTAACGCGGAGAAACCATTGCTGATTGACGTAGAATATCTTTAATGGAAATCAGTAAAACATTTGCCGTTTGACGTAGGATATATTAAATGGAAATAAGTTAAACAATTTCCGACTGACATAGAATATCTTAAATGGAAATCAGTGAGCAATTGCTGATTGTCATAGAATATCGTTAGCAGAACTCGGAGAAACAATTGCTGATTGTCGTAAAATATCTTTAATGGAGCTCGGAGAAACAATTGCTGATTGTCGTAAAATATCTTTAATGGAACTCGGAGAAACAATTGTTAATTGACGTAGAATAGCTTTAATGGAAATCAGTAAAATATTTGACGATTGACGTAGAATTAACTTTAATGGAAATGTGTGAAACAATTGCCAATTGACGTAGGATATATTTAAGTGAGATAAGTTAAACAATTGCCGATTGACATAGAATATCTTAAATGGAAATAAGTTAAACAATTGCCAATTGACGTAGAATTAACTTAAATGAAAATCAGTGAAACAGTTGCCAATTGACGTAGAATATTTTTAATGGAAATCAGTGAACTATTGCTGATTGACGTTGTATGTCTTAAATGGAAGTCAGTTAAATGGTTGCCGATTGACATAGAATATATTTAATGTAAATCAGTGAAAAATTAACGATTGACGTAGAATATGTTTAATGGAAATCAGTGAAACAATTGCTGATTGACGTAATATCTATGCACACATTCTGTTGTCCAATTGCCAATTGACGTAGGATATCTTTACAAAAAATCAGTGAAACTTTTTTCAATTGACGTAGAATATGTTAAATGGAAATCAGTGAAAATTGACGATTGATGTTAAATTCATTTTAAAAGATATCTATAGAATATTTGATGATGGACATAAACTATCTTTTGGTGGATATTTGTTTAACAATTGACGATTGACTCTTATAAAACCGACATGGTTTGCAAACTAAATCTGCTCATTTCTATCACGCATTAAAACGTGCTAAATGCTGGCACACGAACAACTCTTAACATAAATTTATCGATTTAATTAATAACAAATAATATAGGAGACCGATTTGTAAAACCAAATTTGTTTGTTTCTGAATCCTAATATTTATTTCAATGGTATTATATCGTTATTTGTTTGTTTCTGAATCCTAATATTTATTTCAATGGTATTATATCGTTATGTGATGATTTATCTTAATAAATATTGTTTAAACTAAAAAATAATGTTATTTTTGTATATCTGTTTTACCTGAAGGAGAATTTATTGGAAATGTGACATCGCAAATTACTTAATGTTTACAAAGCATAACTTATTATCATATAGCTGATCCGTTTCCTACCAAAGAATTTATGCTTTAGGTTTTAATTCAGCCCATTTTTTTTAATTATTTATTAAATATCAACTAAGTTATAAAATATAATTTTTCAACTTTTCATTTGATATACATACCTATTAATGGCACCGAATCTGCTGCTTTCGGTGTAGACTCTGCTAATAACAATAGTAAAACAAAAAAAGCAACAAATATATTCATTCCTGAAAAACAAAAATATTAGGTCAATTTTGTATAATGTCGAGTTGATATCGCACATTCTATTGAAGAGCATGAATGCTGCAAGGTGCTTTATTAGTCTACTGTTAACTAATGTAAATCTAATTTGAATCATATAGTAATATCATTTTTGTATAAGCTTATATCATATATAGCACTGTATAGTAAGGATTACAAATATGTTGAGTATGGTGATTGGATAATATAAGACGGATTTTTCCCAAAATGAGCCTAATAACGTCAATCATTACGAATGTTACTATGTGGCGCAGTCTATATCTACATAACAGTAAAAGAATGTAAGAAAAAAAGAGAGGCGAAAGATACCAAAGGGACATTCAAACTCATAAGTAGAAGATAAACTGACAATGCCATGACTAAAAAAAGAAAAAGACCAACAGAAAAACAGACAAACAACAGTACACAAAACACAGAGATTAAAAATGGGTACAAAATAATGCGTATCCTTCAATGTACATTTTCAATTTAAAATCACGCTAGTTACACATTAAATACTAAATTGGTCGATAAAAGTATTAATAATAAGTATTTTGTAAACGAGATAATTATTTTCACAACAAATTAAAAAATCTTTCACGTATGCAGAAAAATGTCAGGTTAGGTTTATTGAAATTTCTAATAGTAAAATATATAAAGTCACTTACAAACAAAAGTGCAAAAGAAAGCTTGATACTTTATTACAAAAATATTTCTAACGTAAAAAAAATATTTTTGTCAACATAAAAAAAAATGCTTATAAGTAAAGCACACAAAAAATACATTAACTTGTCTATATTGCAGGATGAATATCCAACAAATACTTGGTACTCCAAAATACATTAAGGCAGAGGTAATCGATAATATATGTGTTATTCATATTTAAGACAGGGATATAATGAGTCCTGAATAATATATAATATATTTTGTTCACAATTGTCTATATAACGAGTTTGTTTGTTTATTTTTATTTTCTAAAAAATGTCTTTTTATATAGTTTACCTTTTGACATTTCGGAGATAATTATCGGATAAACAAATTCATTAGAATAGCGTGTTGGGTACATTGTAGGATTTGGTTAGAATAATTCAATCCGTTTTGATGAGGATAACAGTTTGGTTATTTTCTAACAGTCCTTAAGGTTTTTATGTAAGCTTGTCTACATGAAGTGCTTTAAATCAAATCTGGTTCAATCTAAATCATGGTGGAAGAAATTTGTAATTGTGATGAAACAAATTCAGTAAATGCATAACAAATTGCATATTTGATCAACTTTATACAAGCATATATGCACAAATAGCACTGATATTGTGTACGACTTACTCAAAATTATACTTATGTTTACAAAAACAATCCAAGCACTTTCCGCTAACACTAACAGCATTTAAGATTTCTTAATAAGTACTGAAGTAAAGGCAAAACGGGTACAAAAGGTTGTCCAGGAATATTGGGTTTTTTTGGTCATTAGAGAGATTGTATAGATGTCAAATTGACATCCGAATCAAACAAAACACATTAACACAAACTTCGAAATGCTGTTAGGATATTTAGTTTACTTGTTCTATTAATAAACAGTTTATTGATTTTTGTGGTTAGTTTCGAATAAATGATATTAAAAATTTGTTTTTGTTTTTCAAAATACCGTCAAGTATAATCCATAATATTACCTATTTGTCGTGTTTAATTGTAGAGTAAAACCAATTAAGAGTTGGTTTTATTACAGTCTGGTAGATACATACCCAGTACAAGTTTTGCTGGAGATTCTGGTGGTACCCAGAATATTACTAATGTCAGAAGAGACAGCAATGAACAAGGAAGTATCAGTATAAAGCTGTAAAAAGCTACTTTGCGCTTGATTCGTAAGTAGAATTTTAAATCTGGATATGGAGTGTTAGGACAGCAGTCGTAAAATTTCTCTGACTTCTTAGCAACGTTTTCTATTATATCCCATTCAGTGGCAGCTATATAATCTGACAAGGAAAACATAGTCAGATTCTGATAGAAAAATATATCTAGTTTTGTGCCATCGTAAGTCCAGGATCCAAATTTCAAATGACAATACTGTTCATCAAATGGAAAATATGTTGTATCGAAACTACAAGAACTCCTTAGAATAGCTTGTGGCATCCAAAATATATGTCCGTTTGGTTCTACAAGTACCAACGCATCTCTTTTTTCTTCTAGCCTAGGGTCCGCACTGAAAACATAAACAGGACAACAAAGCTTGATCAATAGCAATGTTGTTTGTAAAGATCACACTATCGTGTTAGTTTGAACAAACATTTGCCATGGTCGTATTATTTAATTTTGTTTATAAAGTATGAAATATTCTCTGGAATAACTTTCATCAGGTACGCATGGGACAATTAAAAAAGACATCAACAGAATAGCGAATCCGTGTTATATGAATTTTGCCAAAGGGGGTGCCACCCTTTGGTTTTATAAATTATTAAACGTTCATGAGTTTGAAATATACGGACAAAATGTATTATTTCTATCATTGCTTAAACAAAAATACAAAATATTGGGAGAATATATCTAAATTTCACATACAGTTTACCTATCAGTGAAACAAACCACGTACATTTATCACAAATAAGTCGTTGGTTAACTGTATGCACCCTAGACGGCTATTTACATCAATTTGCATGTCGTAAAATTTTCTTAATTTCAGGTTTAAACAAGCTACATATTCATATTGTGCTAAACTCGGCTTATTTCATTTTATCAACCGAAGTGTTTACCTTTCCGTGGCTTTTCATATATTTTCTAACTCTACTCTCTTGTTTGGGTCAAACTGACTTTTAAACAAAAGAATAACTTAAAAATCCACATGTTTTACAAGAACAAATTTCTTTTGTAAAAGAGGGACGAAAGATACTGGAGGGACAGTCAAACTCACAGATCGAAAACAAACTGACAACGCCATGGCCAAAAATAAAAGGACAAACAGACAAATAATAGTACAGATGACACAACATAGAAAACTAAAAACTAAGCAACACGAACCCCACCAAAAACTGTTGGTGATCTCAGGTGCTCCGGAAGGGTAAGCAGATCCTGCTCCACATGTGGCACCCGTCGTGTTGCTTATGTTATTACAAATCCGGTAAAAAGTCTAATTCGGTATGTCACTTTCGTGAAAAGGGAAGGGTATTGTAGTTACGATATAAGGAACATATCCGATATCATCTGTGAAACGGTTATTTTATAACGGTCAACCAACTCGTGATGGCGTCCGTAAAATTTACGAAGGGATGATTTCAACTTTACCATTTGGAACTCTTGGTTTAATAGCTTCCTTGTGAGCAGCAATCCTCTATCAAGGAAATCATGATAGGAAATACAAGCCCGGGAATATCGTATCAATTGGGAGATATATACTCCGTATGCAGGCGCTGCTGGAATATTGCTACATAGAAATGGAAAGTTCACAATTGGGAAGCTGAAATCATCTCTTTTGTCGTAAAGTTTTGTATTCAACCGACCCTCATTGTCAATTTCTAGATTTAAGTCAAGATATGAGGCTGACTTAATTGTATCTGTAGTATCCTTTATCTCTAGTTCGATGGGATAGATTCGTTCAACATAGTCACCAAATTTTGTATTATTCAGTGACAGAACATCATCTATATAGCGGAACGTAAAGTTAAAAGATATTGCTAACTTCTTATCTTTCTTCCTAAGAAGTTCCTGTATGAAGTCATGATAATAAAGAAACAAGTCGGCAAGAAGAGGGTCACAATTGGTTCCCATTGGAATTCCGACAGTCTGTTGAAAAACACGTCCTCCAAACGTAACAAATATGTTGTCAATCAAGAAATCAAGCATCTTAATAATGTCAATTTCAGAGAATTTTTTGTTTGAATCAGAGTGATTCTTTACAAAGTAGGATTTATCCCTCCCCAAGACAAGATACTTGTATATACGTTCGCCATTCTTTTTAATGAAACAAAATTATACCAACTCGTTCATTTTGTCTTCTAAAAATTAGATATTTGATACCTTGAAAGTGTTTATCTTATTTATTTTTTTTTTGTTTTCCGATACTGTAGGTTATTGTTTCCATCAATAATGACCTTTTTCTAATGTTATACAAGACAGTTCAAATGTGTAATTAGTAAAGATAATACGTTTCTATACATTACATATGATAAATGGCAATTTGTGGAATTAGTTCAATGGCCTCCAGGGTTGTGGGATAATTATTTGAAAGTGAAATCTGAACTTAAGCGATCATCAAAACTAAAGAAATTATCTATAACTCTTTCTTGAAACAAGATGATAAGTTGGGTTTTCGGGGCTGTTGGACTAAAAGGCTAACGGACAAATCGATTGTCAAATTTTCTTTTAATAGACTAGTTCAGACTGTAGCTGTAGATTGTAGTCAAGAAGCCAAAACTTTAAGGATATATATTTATTCATATCTTTTTCCCTTATTTTTCATAAAAGATAAGACATTTTATAGGCAGTAAAATAATTTGAATTTTGAGTGACGGTGGTGAAACTTGCATGTGTGTCGAATTCTGATGGATACTTCAGCCAGAAGAAAACTCGTAAAACTAAAAGTGTAGCAAAGCTTAGAACTCCAAATTGTCAGTTTTAGCTGAAGTAATGTTTAACTCATATTGTCTATATACATCTATGACAAATATTTTACAATGAATTATCGATGAAAATTATCTTTTTATATATATTTATTTAAATTTCATATAGTATTGCAAAAAGAATGTCTTCATCTAATTTTTTTTAATGTAATACAATTATAGCCTTATACATGATTTGGTATATATTTTTATTGTCAGTATGCCTGAAATGAAGCAGAAATTAAATTGATTGGTTGGTATGATAATGTGTCGTAAAGTATCGAGGTTTTTAGATTTCTATTTTTAGATCTTTTAGAAAAGTACTGCCGTTTTCAGTCTACCGTTGAAAATACAGTTGAACATGTGACTCGTTCTAAACGAATCCAATCAGTTAGATTATACAAATAATGATATCTAACAATAACTTACAAATTATACAAAACTATATCTGGAATCCAAATCAAATCTGAAGGAACCCGAACAATACTAATGTCATCATGCTCTGAAGCATTCCATACAAGAAGTACGTCTGTCCAACTCTGAAATTAAAACCATCACTGTTTCGTAAAACTTAAGTTGGTAATAAAATAGTAGTGTTAGTTATCTTTGTATGTTTAATAATCTAGATTAAAAGTGATATTAAAATTTTAAATATTTATGATAGTTGGTTTAAGGGCTCAGTAGGGTTAATGCTGTGGTTGTAAGTGTACATATTTGCATATTCACTAGCATTTAACTGACTAATTCGGTGAAGATTCTGATGTATGCTCATCCAATTCTGATAAGAGATTAAGAGATTAAGAGGTTTAGGAGAAGATGCGAATACAAATGTTTCCTGCAGTGTTCGGATATTACAAAGTTCATGTCGTGCGGAAATAAATTCACAAAATTATTAGGATGACGACAATTAAGATTAAGAGTTGCTAATCTTCTTAAAAGTAAGATATTGTAAATTTTTACAACATTTTGTCATGCGGATACGAAAGCATTACGACATGACAAACAGGCATATTGTTTCAAATGGTGGTGTATTATGATAATCATATAAAATGTTGGTCTATTATGATAATCATATAAAATAGTGGTGTATTATGATAATATTATGGTGGTGTATTATGATAATCATATAAAATGGTGGTGTATTATGATAATATTATGGTGGTGTATTATGATAATCATATAAATTGGTGGTGTATTATGATAATCATATAAATTGGTGGTATATTATGATAATCATTTAAAATGGTGTTGTATTATGATAATTATATAAAATGGTGGTGTATTATGACAATCATATAAAATGGTGGTGTATTATGATAATTATATAAAATGGTGGTGTATTATGATAATTATATAAAATGGTGGTGTATTATGACAATCATATAAAATGGTGGTGTATTATGATAATCATTTAAAATGGTGGTGTATTATGATAATAATATAAAATGGTGTTGTATTATGATAATCATATAAAATGGTGGTGTATTATGATAATTATATAAAATGGTGGTGTATTATGATAATTATATAAAATGGTGTTGTATTATGATAATCATATAAAATGGTGGTGTATTATGATAATATTATGGTGGTGTATTATGATAATTATATAAAATGGTGTTGTATTATGATAATTATATAAAATGGTGTTGTATTATGATAATCATATAAAATGGTGGTGTATTATGATAATATTATGGTGGTGTATTATGATAATTATATAAAATGGTGTTGTATTATGATAATCATATAAAATGGTGGTGTATTATGATAATAATATAAAATGGTGTTGTATTATGATAATCATATAAAATGGTGGTGTATTATGATAATAATATAAAATGGTGTTGTATTATGATAATCATATAAAATGGTGGTGTATTATGATAATTATATAAAATGGTGGTGTATTATGATAATTATATAAAATGGTGGTGTATTATGATAATCATATAAAATGGTGGTGTATTATGATAATTATATAAAATGTTGGTCTATTATGATAATTATATAAAATGTTGGTCTATTATGATAATTATATAAAATGGTGGTGTATTATGATAATCATATAAAATGTTGGTCTATTATGATAATCATATATAATGGTGGTGTATTATGATAATTATATAAAATGTTGGTCTATTATGATAATTATATAAAATGGTGGTGTATAATGACAATCATATAAAATGGTGGTGTATTATGATAATTATATAAAATGGTGTTGTATTATAATAATTATATAAAATGGTGGTGTATTATGATAATCATATAGTGGTGTATTATGATAATCATATAAAATGGTGGTGTATTATGATAATCATATAAAATGGTGTTGTATTATGATAATTATATAAAATGGTGGTGTATTATGATAATCATATAGTGGTGTATTATGATAATCATATAAAATGGTGGTGTATTATGATAATCATATAAAATGGTGGTGTATTATGATAATCATATAAAATGGTGGTGTATTATGATAATCATATAAAATGGTGGTGTATTATGATAATCATATATGTTTCTAGTTATAAAAAGCAAGTTCAGTATTTTATCAACCGATATAGATATCATTTTTTAAACATGTGTCTCAAAATTGCATCAGGTTGAACGCGATTCAGAAATTTGATTTAATATTTGCCTTTTCGCTGAACTAGTATACATTTTTGTTTAGGGTCCAGCTGAAGCCCGCCTCCGGGTGCGGGATTTTCTCGCTGTGTTTTAGACCAATTTTAGGCCTTGGGCTGTTTTCTACTCTTTGGTAGGATTGTTGGCTTTTTGACACATTCCCCGTTTCCATTATCAATTCTATTAGAATACCTTATAAAAAATGAGTTTGTAAGTCGACTGCCTTGTAACATGCTTGATGGTATCTTTTATTCATGAATATATAATTCAAGCTAAAATGTTTAGCTAAGATTGTATGTCTGGTTAATTTCGCACTGTGCAAACTAGGAATTTGTGTTCGAATATGATTGGAACTGATTCTGTCTCTTATTAGACACGCGCATGATTTACGATGACTCTTTTTCGTATAAAATGCATTTAACCTTACGACATGTACTCAAAAGCTTCACACAGAATCCGATCATCAGTGTCATTTGTTTAATGTTATACGCTCGTTGATAAGATTTATAACGTTGTAATTGATATTTACACAATTTTAGTAATGGTGTGATGCGTTTTCTTGCTTCAACGGCTTGAAACATTTGATTCTATCTATAAAAAGGCTTAAAACTGACAAAATGTTGTTTTCAATCGATGAAAATCCATGAAGTACATTTGAGAAATTTATTTATTACTGCTGTCTTTCACTAACACAAAATGAAGTCATTATACATTTATGGCGTCCGGTTACCGTGAATCTGTTTAATGGACAAGCTATGTAAAACAATTCCATCTTCATCCAAATATATATGGTTACGATAGCGCAATTACTAGCACTGCATATCCATACTTAGCTGTGGTGTTTAAAATTGTATTGAAGAATAAAGAAACTAGAAAATTTGGAAGTGTTTCTTTGACTTCAAATGTCAGCAACTTATTCAAGCAAAAGCAAAGTATATGTCAAATTATTAAATCTGATTTAAATCGCAGATATTAGGAGACTCTAAATTCTTAACTTACTTAAAAATATTAAGTTGGAATAGTTCCTTAATTTATCAAATAAATAGCTATCTTTAGGCATCTTTAAGTCGATGATCTGATTAAAAATAAGCTATTATATTGTTAGAACCTCACAACACATACATGGAATTATTATATTGTTGATTGAAGTAATAAATATATAGTTGTTGAAAACTAATCTAGTGTAGTATTTTTTGCCTTACAACAGACCACATACAGATCCTTCAAACAGTTGGTTCTTTCATAAACAAAGGGCGTGGCCTTTTCAACTGAACTTTGCTAATTTTTATACAATCCTCTTACAAAAATGTACGGGACTAATTTTTATAAGTAAAAACGTTAGTACAAGCTTTAGGTTTAATATGAATAATTAATAAACTTGGAATCTATAATTGTCTAAAGGTAGACGATCGATGTATCTAATTAGAAAGCTCAAGCTTCATGTTCACATGTTGTAATGTTTTATCCTTAATTCAAATTTAATAATATTAAAGCAGCGGTTGAAACATATTTCTAATATTTCAAAACTTAATTCATTCAAACATCATAGACTTCTTGGAAAGACAATGATACAGTAAAAAGATCATTTTGGGTTTTTTATAACAGTGAAATTTTTTGGAAAACACAAAGACCATATCTTTTCCTTGTAAGTTTTTTCATACATAAGTTTTCATGATTTAACAATAATAGATAAAAGCAATCTAATTTCATGATACATTTGTGTTTTAGTATTATTAATTAAATTTGGTAAATGGTAGAAAAAAAACGTTCATCAAGATACTCAAAATATAAATATTACTATTTAAAACATAAACAATATAAATTCATCACAAATAGTAACACATGAAATTGGATCATCGGTTCACTATTGTTGCTTAAATGTGTGCTTTATTTTCATCAAACATGAGTTATCAGTGTAAAAGTATGTAGATTGTTTAATGTATGCTTTGTTTGTTTTCATCATACATGAGTTATCAGTGTAAAAGTATGTAGATTGTTTGTTCTTAACGTTTTTATGCAAAATTTGAGTTCTATCCCTTGACATTTAATTTTGTATGCCGCATTTTTTTCTGATTACCTGTTTTAGTTTTCATCTGCGCAAATCATTAACTTTTTGCTGCAGAGAGAATCTATGCAAAACACCTATGAAGTCTCTGAATCTGTAGATACATTCTACGTTTGTAAGGGGTGAAATGAAGATCTAGGACATTCAAAAGTTGAAAAGAAACTGACAACGCAATGGCAAAAATCGAAAACGATGACCAGACAAGCTAGTTCACAAAACAATACATAAAGGCTGATCATTATGAACCTACTCTGTTCACAAGGTGAAGGTCACAAGAAAAATGATTTTCATTTAATATGTCAGTTTTTTAATATTAATTTCTGTAGTTGTGTGTATATCTAGGTTTTAAGCATAAACATCATTTTTTCAAATGATATTCAATGTTTCTAAATACCAATTAACTGCAATTACAATTTGCGTTTCTAAGAAACACTTTAATGTTGCATGTTTATTTCTAGCTGTGCAACCTTTTAACTCATTTGAAAAAATCCGATTGGTATATTCAAAAATCAATGAAAAATAAATGAAACAGATCGTTTTTTAAGGATTCACTGTTTTATCTCTATAATTTTCCCAATTTTTATTTCTTTTTAGAGTTTACTGACAACATAGTATGAAACTTTTTTCCTTGTATTATCCGACGAGATATGCAGTGTTAAATCCTTATCAATGAATCTCTATCAAACTGCTAATTTGTCAGAAAATGAAAATATTTTTGGGTTTGAGTTACTAAATCATTTATTTTCTTGTGGTTTTATAGACTATTTTGTGTTTTCATATTGTCTGTCTTTTTACAACGGTATTGTCTCTTTTCCTAGACATGTGATTTTTGTCGCCTTCATGTATCTTCTCCTCTTCTTTAATTAAACTCTATTATTTACTATATACTTACGTATGTCAACCAAACATTAGTTTCTAATACTTGATTTTTTTCATCCACATCGAGTATTTGTATAAGAGACATACCAAACTCTACATCTATACTCTCGTCTGTCTTCATTACCGGTCGTCCTATTCTACCAAACTTTGCATACCGATCCAGGAGTGCTTTAATCAACTGCTTTTCTGTAGATGCGAATGTATTGTTATCTAATGAAGTAGTCAAATCTACAAAATTCAACAACATTTTTACCATTGCATGTCATGTTTTTTTTTGTATGTATTGTTAATTTATAAGCTATGAAATCTACAAATATAATAATATCATCCTTACATTCAGTGGTTTATGTAAAGTGTCATCTGATGCAGCTGTCATATCTACACTACGGAACGCCACAGCTGCCTTAAGGTGACGATAATCATATCATTAAGGGTAGAGACATAACATCTTTTTTTTTAGAAACATTTGAAACTTAAGATTTTAACAAGAGTGTTAAAGGAAATCTTCAAACGTGTAGCATTTTTTTATATGCCATCATTAATAATTGGCTTAATAATTTTCTAAAGAGGCATTAAAATGCACTTTCCCAACAACAACAAAAATAAAAATAAATAACTTTTTCTTATCCAAATTGGTGTTCATTCTTCATTAAGGAAAAATACATTCCCTGTATTCAAATATACATGTACAAAACCTAATACTGAGTTAAATCCAATTACTGTCAAATAGCAGCATAATAGGGAATATATAAATAAATGTATTGCAGAAAATGTTCATGGTAGAGTTATGCAATAGTGTTTAATGTTTCAACCAAATTACTGATAATTGTAACTTAAATAGACTTTAATCATTAACGTATGTCAGATGATTATGACACTGATTTCACAATTGAAATAAAATCGGGTTGTATTCTTTATACATATTTTATTTTAGTCTTTTCTAAAAACCCAAATCATATCAATCAGTCACCTTTCACACAAAAAATTAACAGAATGATTTAATGTAGTGTTGATCAAAATAAATAATAGGTGCATTATTGAGGTAAAGATTTTGTATATCCAGTCAGATGTGTAATAAATTGAATACACACAATCTTGACCTCAATACCAGTATGATTGATAATTGTCATGATATATTCTATAGTATACTACATTCAATAGTATAATTATAATATTCCTTACATATCGCCTATAAAATATGTAGTGTTATCCAACGTAGCTGTAAAGCCTACACAATCTAACGATCATAACATGATTTTCCTTACATGTTATATATTGATGTCGTATGAAGAGAATAAAACCTTTTCTGAATTTCTTTTATTTTGTTTGAAAAAACATAAACACATTTACAATTTGGATATACATTTCGCTTTTCAAACATGTAGATCTTGACAGAAGTGTTGTAATTTTAATAACCAAAATCAGTGAAAAATGACATATATTAACTACACGTTTAAGACTTTTAAGTATTGGCTTAAATTCCAAAGTAGAAAATGCTAAGCTAGGTAAGATATTTTGAATTTAAGGTAAAAGGACAGTGAACGGGTTATGTCACAGATTTGAGTAAACTTTAGCATACAACTTTGCTCGTTGAACTTTGACTGAAAATCGAAAAAAATTAATGCAATTTTATCTTTTATTTGCCGATATATTACTGAAAGATTTTTTCGAAATAGGTGTATAGAATGCAAATAAATTCTGCAATAAGCGTCCTTAATTTTGTCTTAAAATCATTAAATCTGTAATTACAAATCGATACATTTTTTGTAACGAATGATATATTAATGATACATAAATTTTTCGTTTTAATAATGAAAAAAATATTAGATTCACGGACTTCTTTTTTACGGTATACATCCATTCAAATTTGTGTTATATGTGAAAAGTACCACAAAAGGTGGACGATATACGTCGAATAAAATGTAAAGTCTTCAAATTGTTAGCCGTAAAACGTCTTTTTTCTACTAACTTTGTAAAAGATTGATTAATACACTAAAATAAAACGAAGCCGTTGACCACATAAATATTTTATATCAATCAAACAGAAATTTCAAGCAAACGAACATTTATGTATCAGCAAAATATATATATTACAGAAAAATCTGTTTTCTAAATGGAAATTTGGTTATTTGAAGACAAATTTAAGAACGTTTTACACCAGTTTTGTGCGTTTTCTATACAAGTCTTCAACTATCTTGAAAGAATTCATTCAGTTATATTTCAGAATATAAAAAGATTAACCATAATCTGTGACATAGCCCATTTACTGTAGCTTTACCTTAAAAAAAGACGGTGTTAAATGCTAAAATACAAATATTTCTACGTTTCTAATATTTTGAAATGATATAGTTTGTTTCATGCGTTTTGAAGTAGTGTTCCAAATTTCATCGGAGCATTAACATTTTGGATCGGTTTTGTAGAAATGTAATCATTGTCTTTTATCTTTAAAAAATCATGGAAGTGAGTAGACAGGATATTCTGTTCCTAATGATCAGTACAACAAAAATGTCTAGAAATAGGGGGAGGGGGGGGATATTCTATTTTTAGATTGGGTTTCATAAATTTTGAGTGTAATGAGAGAACATTCAAATGTTGGTACATTAGTGCCATATATGCTTGTACCTTTATTGCACCATGAAGTGCTTGATTTTAGAAAATATCAAATACCCAAATATGCTACAATGATCAATTAGGTAACATGGAAGTAGTCATTGAAGAGTATATGATATTCATAATTGATATTATGGCTTATCATGATTGGTTGTAGTGTGCATTCGATATTTATTATTACTAGACACCTCATGAACTCTTTCAATAATTAAAAGACAAAATGATAACAGTTCTTTTTTTCTAAAGAAAATAAGCAGTTTTTTTCTAGATTGTCTTTCCCTGTTGGTTGCTCTACATGGTTTAGATCGTAAACGATTTCTTTTGTTGTTGTTTCTATATATTAGGACAACACGGGATTTGCATTTTCTTGGTGATGTCTTTATATAGTTCAGATTTATTCTGTATTTCCCTGGTAGTGTCTCTAAATGATACAAATGGGTTCTGTTTTTTTCCCTTTAGTTGTCTTTATATGGTACAGATATGCTATGTATTCCTTGTAAGTGTCGTCTCTATTAGGTAATGAAGGACTCCTTATTTCCTTGGTGGCGTTTTTATTGCAAAGATTGTGTTTCTCTTATACTTATTTTATATGGTACAAATTGGTTCTGAATTTTCCTGTTGGTGTCTCTATGTGGTAAAGTTCGGTTCTTGAAAAAAATATGGTGTATTTCTATGGTGCAGAATACTTTTGAACTTTCCTGTAAGTGTCTCTATGTGGGTTCTGTATTTCCCTGATAGTCTGTGTGTATGATAAAAAAAAAGGTTTTATAATTCTCTGTATTTCTGTATTTCCGTGATGATGTCCTTATATGGTACGGATTGCTTTTGAATTTGCTTGTTATTATGTCTATCTTGTACAGACGGGTTCTGTATTTCCCTGTTTGTGTCTCTAAATGGGAAGGAAGGGTTGATAACTCACGATTATTGTCCTTAAAAGGTGAAGATGGGTTATGCTTTCCCCTTATGTCTTTATATAGTACAGATTAGTTATGAATTGTCTTGTTTGTGTCTCTCTGTGGTATAGATGGGTTAAGTATTTATTTTTTGGAGTCTGTTTATGGGAAAGGTAGGTTTTGTTTTCCTGGTGGTGCATTTGTATGTCACAGATGGGTAATGTGTTTTAATGTTGGTGTCTCTATTTATTGTAAATATAAGTTCTGTATTTCCTGATAGAATCTTTGTGTTGTTATGATAGATTTTAAATTTCCTTATTGGCGTTTTATATTGTACAGAAGGATTCTTTATTTTCTTTTTGGTGCTCTGTTTATTTGAAAAACTATCTCCCCTTGGATATTTCTGTGTGCTAAAACATACATTCTGTAAATAGCTGATGGTGTCTATGTGTGGTAAATGGTGCGTTCTGCATTTTCCTGGTGGTGTTTCTTTATGATACATATCTGATGGTGGTTTTTGTATCTTAGACATAAATATTTGGAACAGTTTTTATAAATTTAGTACAATGATACTAAATAGAATATTAAGTTGTTTGGAACAATGTTTGGGAAAAAAATATGGAACGCTGAAATAACCTTCATATATCTATGCTTTGGACAATCGGGGGTCGAATCGTTAATTTTTAAGTGAAATGTATATAAACATCAAATACGCATATGGTTAATTTGATTTGAAGTATATTTTGTAATTGTCTTTTATTTAGAACTGTAGGACTTAGTGTTTGTATTTTTGTAGGATGAAACGATAGAAATAAATAGTTGCAACCTGACAATTAGTTATATGCTCAAGTTATACAGTTTTTATGGTAAAGACTGGTTATGAATTTATCTGATATTGTCTGTAGGTGATACAGATTGGATCTGGATAGTCTCAGGTATTGTCTCTGTGTTACTTTGGTATTTATCTCTATGAGATACAGATTGGTTCTGTATTTCTCTGTTGGTGGTTGTTTTGTTGCGTGTAAGTTTAAATGTTATAGTGTTGTCTGTATTTGGCAAAGATGGGTTCCGTATTTCCCTGATGAGTTTCTTGATATTGATACGATTGGTCCTGTATTTTTTGGTGAATATATAGTTAAAGGTAAACTATTTTATTGGTGTCCCTTAATAGTTCTAATTGGTTCCATATTTCCCTGGTCATGACTCTACGGTACAAATTGGTTCAATATTTCCCTTTTTTATGTATCTGCAATGTAATGAAAGGGTCTGTATTTTCCTGATGGGTGTTTCTTGGTGGTAAAGATTAGTTTTGTATTTCCCTGGTAGTGTCTTTATGTGATAAAAGTGCGTTTTGTTTTTTCCTGGTAGTATCTCAATTTAAAACAGAAAGTTTATATATTTCCATATTGCTGTTTCTCTGTTGTTAAGATGGGTTCTGTGTTTCCTGTTGGGGGTTTCTATGGTTCAGATTCTTTGTCTCTACTTTTAGTTGAGTTTATATGGTACAAAAGGTTAATACATATCAGTATAAACTCTACTAAATTATTCTTGGGGCATTTCGAAAAAATACTACAATCTATATATAGCCGATAGCCCAACAAAAATAAGTCAGCTTCGTCATTATTTTGACTTTAAGTCTGTATTGGTTTTTGTTTCCTTTCTGCTGGAATGTACAGTTGTCTGAATACGTTTCTTTAATATTCGACATCTTGGATTGACTCATAT